TTCCCAGTCTGTCTCAGTAATGCTGTTTATTCTGGTTACTCCGATTCCTAATGGTGCAAACCATTCGAGTCCCAATAGGCTGGGTTGATCCCGGTCGACTATTGTTAATGGGAGGACTTTAGTTTGTTTTTTGAATTCAACTTTGAAATGTCCGGTACCCACTACAGGAATTCTGTTTCCCTGGTAGTCCTTTAGTATGAGCTTTTGTATTTTGAGCTCTCCCTTGTTTATATCAGGTATTAGTCCTTTTAGAGTATCCCACGATACCATTGATAAATACGAGCCTGAGTCCACTTCCATCTCACATGGTTGGCCTTCTATGGTGACTTGTATATGTACCTTTTTTGCGTTGGTTGAGTTTGAGTGCCCGATGGTTATTGTTTGATGTGTTTCCTCTTTTCTGTTTGCTTCTTTCCATCGCTTGTTTCTGTTTTCTTGACTCCAACGGCTCCCTATTTGCTTTTCCCTCTCTCTGGGGGGGGGGGGGGGGGGGTGGTATTCCATCTTTGTCTAGGGCCATAGTTATTTTTAGTTTGGCATGCCCTAGCTATGTGTCCCCGCTGTTCACAATACCTGCAAATAGCATCGAAGAAACGGCATTCGGAATATGGATGGTTTCCTCCGCACCTGGCACAACGGAATTCTGACTTTCTTTCATTTCGCTCCCATCTACCTTTTTCTGACAGGAGTTGATTTACCTCTTCCTCACTGGCTCAAAGTTGACTCAGCCTTCTATCTTTCCAAGGTCGGTAAAATGAGGAGCCAGATTGTTGGGGGCAATACACTGACTCTATAAACCACTTAGAGAGGGCTGCAAAAGGATTATGAAGTGGCTTATAATATTCCTTCCTTCCTTCCCCTCCTCTCTTCTTTCCTTTCTCATTATCCTTCCTGGTGGTGCAGTGGTTAAAGTGCAGTATTGCAGGCTAATTCTGCCAACTAATTCTGTTCGACCCTCACCAACTCAACATTGACTCAGCCTTTCATCCTTCCAAGGTTGCTAAAATGAGGACCCAGATTGTTGGGGGGGGGGGGGGTGCAATAGGCTGACTCTGTAAACCGCTTAGAGAAGGCTCTAAAGTACTATGAAGCGGTATATAAGTCTAAGTGCCATGGCTAACTGCCTTTCTTAGCAACAGAAATTCTGGCCTCAATTATAGTTGTTAAGTCAAGGACTAACTGTACAGACTTTCCCCCTCCACTTTAAATTTTAAACAGTCTGGTACAAAAGCTAAAATCAAAAGCGGATCTTTAAAGGGTTAGCAAATGAGGCTCCCTTCTGCTTGGTTAAATCTAGGCAGATATGACAATGACATTTGAGTAGTCACAGGACTCGTTAGCCGGCTCTGATTTCTTGCCAAATCAGCCCACTTTAGCTTTATTAATAAATCATTATGTAACGCGCTATTGGCAGACACGCTGCAATATCAGGTGGCACATTTTTTGAAAGGATGCTATAATTCAAAAACTGCAACGATTTCCCTCAGCTTCATTTTCTACCGGTGAGAACTTCAATCATTGTTTAGAATATGGAGGGAGCAGGGAGCATAAAATATTGGGGTTCTATTCTGAAATGAAGTGGAATTAGGATCAAAGCATCACTTCTTTGGTTAAAAAGCTCTAGATTAGTCCAACTTGAAGAGGTGTGGACTTCCCAGAATTTCCCAACCATAATGGCTGGCTGGGAGATCCTGAGAGTTGAAGTTCACACGTCTTCAAGCCCACAAGTTTGGGAGACACTGATCTAGATCAGAGGTCCCAAAACTTGGCAACTTTAAGACTTGTGGACTTCAACTCCCAGAATTCTCCAGCCAGCTATGTTGAGTTTGCATTGGGATTTTAGGTTACCAGGCAGACTCTCAGCTCTTTCATCTAAATCAGTCCCACCCACCCCCCAAACTTGGCAACTTTAAGACTTGTGGACTTGTGGATAGCTGGCTGGAGAATTCTGGGAATTGAAGTCCACAAGTCTTAAAGTTGCCAAGTTTGGGGACCCCTGATCTAGATGTTATCAGTTATCTGATACTTCTCTACAATTCTTAGCTCTTGTTCAAAATTTTATACCCCATCTCTATAAAAGACTCTTCCTCTCTAACAGCATTTAATACAAGCCCAAATGTGGCAAACTGGAAGAGTTTCTCCATCACTGCAAATATTCTTAGTTCATGTAAAGCTTTCATTGTTGCAAATTGGAATACATTGAAACCAGTGAATTTGGGTTAGGATGGAAGACCTATTGACCAAGGCTGTAGGCTAGACCAACGGTCCCCAACCTTTATGGCTTAGCTGCCTGGTGGGTTGGTGTGGGGAAAGGGGAACTGACCCATGCAAGGGGTGGGCCTGTGTGCACACGCATGTGTGCACCAGCCCGTTGCTCACACAAGTTGGGCTGTGCATGCACATGTGCCGGCCAGCCATTCATGCAGCCCAGTTCTGAACAGGCCACAACCTGGTAGTGGGCCTCGGCCCAGGGGTGGGGACCCCTGGGTTAGACCAGGATGATTAGGGGACTGGAGACTAAAACATATGAAGAACAGTTGCAGGAACTGGGTAGTGAAGAGAAGGAGCAGGGGAGACATGATAGCAGTCTTCCAGTATTTGAGGGGCTGCCACAGAGAGGAAGGGGTCAATCTATTTTCTAAAGCACCCGAAGGCCAGACAGGGAATAATGGATGGAAACTGAACAAGGAGAGATTCAACCTGGAAATTAGGAGAAACTTTCTGACAGTGAGAACAATCAATCAATGGAACAGCTTGCCTTCGGAAGTTGTGGGAGTACCATCATTTGAGACTTTCAAGAGTCTCAAATTGGACTTCCATCTGTCAGAAATGGTGTAGGGTCTCCTACATGGGCAGGGGGTTTGACTAGATGACCTTCAAGGTCCCTTCCAACTCTGATTGTCTGTTATCTGTTAGACTAACTTAAACAAAATGGAGAAAAAAACCAGTTGAATAAATAACAAACAAGCAAACAAATAAACCACTTTCATGTTGGGGTCAAAAAACTTTATATAGCCAAGTCATGAAGTCACTAGGGCTACACTATCTGGCAGCAAAAATCCAGATATCCACTAGTGATTATTTATATTTTTGCAGCTTAGATATGCTAGCCTTTGAGACTTTTTACTCGCTCTGTCAATAAAATGTTCTTTCCAACAGCTCTTCCCCTGAGACCATAACTACTCATGGATCGCTATAGAAACAACTCCTCCTGGAAGTTAGGAGGTTGTTCTAACCCATCTCTGGTTTTTTTTTTCCTGAAGTCAAGGTGAGTCAAAGCAGAACAAAATGAAATTGATTCAGACCTGCAATGGATACCTTTTATATGAAACACAGCAAAGAGAGAAAGGGCACAGTTAAGACCTAAAACTGCCTTTTAAGTAGCTTTCAGATGTGAGGAGTTAACAGAATAACAGAGTTGGAAGGGACCTTGGAGGTCATCTAGTCCAGTGGTTGCCAACCAGTGGGCCGGGGACCATTGGTGGTCCGCGAGAAAATTTTGGTGGTCTGCATAGAAATGTCACCCCAAAACATGGGACTCTGCAAGGCCTCCTGCTCCAAGAGGCTGTGCCAATGCGACAAGTCTCACAAAGAGTCATTTCTGGCGGAGTTTGGGGGACAGAAAGAAAGACTTCTGCTGCTTCTGCTGCTTTCCTTGCATGAAGCCAAAAGTCTCTCTCTCTCTCCCCCTGAGAAGAGAGCTGGAGACAGTATCCTGCGATCCCAAATAAAGAATGATCGATCAGTAGGAAAACGGGGGTGAGGAATTTTCCTGCAGTTTTTTTGGGGTTTTCCCAGGGTCTCTGGGCTGAGTTTGGTGATCCCTGAGGTCCAAAAGGTTGGCGACCCCTGATCTAGTCCAACCCTCCACCCAAGTAGGAGACCCTGCCAACACCCTTTCTGACAGATGGCAGTCCAGTCTCTTCTTGAAAGAGTGATAAAACTCCCACAACTTCTGAAGGCAACTTCTGTTCCATTGGTCGATTGTTCTCACTGTCAGAAATTTCTTATCAAAGGCCTGGAGACAAAACCATATGAAGAACAGCTGCAGATTTGGGGTCTAGTCTAAAGAAAAGAAGAATTAGGGGTAATGTGATAGCAGTATTCCAGTATTTGAGGGGCTGCCACAAAGAAGGAGGGGAGGTCAAATTATTCTCCAAAGCATCAGAGGGCAGGACTAGAAACAATGGTTGGAAACTAACCAAAGAGAAAAGCAACCTGGAATTCAGGAGAAACTTCCTAACAGGGAGGAGAATTAACCAGTGGAACAGCTTTGCCTTCAGAAACTGTGGGCGCTCCATCACTGGAGGTTTTGAAGAAGAGCCTAGACCAAAGGTCTTCAAACTTGGGCAAGTTTAAGACTTGTAGACTTCAACTCCCAGAATTCCTGAGCTAACATGTCTGGAAGAGGAATTCTGGGAGTTGAAGTCCACAAGTCTTAAAGCTGTCAAGTTTGAAGACCCCTGGACTAGACAGCCACTTATCTGAGGATGGTATAGGTTCTCCAGGGGGCTGGACTAGAAGATCTCGAAGGTTTCCCCCTTACCCTTACCCTACCCTACCCAAGGATGAATCTCTCCTTGATCAGTTTCCATCTTCATTTGGAGGACACCAGCTTGGGAATGTAAGCCTTAGGTTTCCTGCCGGTTGTCCCAGCAATTTGTGCCAGATCAGAAGGAACAACGTGTCTTATTTTCGGAGGTGAAAGGGGGGGGCGAGGGAATGAAAAAGACCCCCCCCCCCAGCCCTATATGTATTTGCGAAGCGCCGTTATGACCACGTGAGGAAAGAAAACAGCCGGCACAGCGGGCGGAGGCGCGATGAGCTCCGGAAAGCGGCCTGGCGGGGATTAAAGAGACGGGCGAAACTCCGGCAGCTTCCGCGATTGGCTGAGCGAAGCGTCTCTCAATTCCCCGCCGTCCCTCCCCACTTCCCGGGTGGGGGGTGTCTGCCTTATAAGCGCGGTCCTGAGCCCGGTTGGCTAGACCGGAGTTGAGCGAGGCGAGTTCGGAGCGTGGCTGCGAATCAAGGGCGCGGCCGCACGCTGCGACCCGAGTTCCCCCGGCTTGGAGCGGCGGGGCCGGGGGAGTGGCGCGCCTGCCGCAAGCCGTTTTCGTGGAGCGCCGGTGGGAAGGATCGGGGCTCCCCGCCTGGACCCGAGGCGCCCTGTGGGCGCGCAGCATCTCCATCGGCGGGGGGGAGGGGGGCGCTCCAAAGCACCGGCGCGCTCCTTCCCTTCCTCCCTCGCCGCTTAAGCCTTCATGCCCGGCTGCGGCATTGCGCCTCCTGCCGTCCCAGCCCTGCCGTCGCCTAAAGCCGAGGAGGCTGCTAAGCCGGCGAAAGTGGCGGCGGCGGCGGCGGCGGCGGCGGCAGCTCCTGCAGCGAGCAGCCGGGACCTGGAAGTGCGCGCCGCCGCCGCCGCCTCGTCCTCGCTGCCCGCGGCGGTGCGGGGCGCGCTGGAGCTGGCCGAAGCCCGCCGGCGGCTGCTGGAGGCGGAGGGGCGGCGGCACCTGGTCTCGGAGCTGGAGAGCCGCGTCCAGCACCTGCACCGCGTCTTCGTCGAGGCCGAGCTACGCATGGCCACCCGAGCCGAGACGCTCGGGCGGCTGGGCAGCGGCGTGGCGCAGGCCGAGCTTCACCTGACGGCGCACGGGCAGCGCCTGAAGAAGACCGCGCGGCGCTACAAAAAGGCCCGCCCGCCCGCCTTGTTGGCTTCGGCGCTGGCCCTCAGCAGCTGCGTGCCTTGGGCGGCCTGCCGGATGAAGCGAGGGGGCGGCCCGGAGCCGCCGGAATCGCCGTTCCGGAGGGGTTTGCAAGGCACGGCGGTTTTGAGCCCGCCGAAACGGAGCGAGACGGAGCCCTTGTCCGACGCGGAGCAGCGGAAGAGCAGAGGCGCCGCTTCGTGAGCGTCCCCGGAGGGCTGCAGCCTTCTAGACCTTCAAGGTCCCTTCCAGCTCGATTCTGATTGATTGATTGACACCTAGCGCGCAAGACCCGGGACGATCCGGACCGGGAAGGGGAAAAGGAGGCTGTTGGAAATGGGGACCGTGCGGCGGCACCTGTTCCTCCCTTCGATGCTCGTGACTCTCGCCGCATTAACCTTAACCCGTGGCCGCTCGCCTGTTCTTCTCCCGCCGACTGGCTTCTGCCCAGCCTTTTAGACTTTACTAATCTCGGGTTTGATAGACGGGAATTCAGCCACAGCTTTGGCTTATGCTACACATCAAGCCAGCATCTTAAGCCAGCATCTAGTTATTTGGGCATGGCATGTTATATGAATACCACTATTGCGTTTTGTTGACTCAAGGTTAAACGTCTTGTGTGAATTCAGCAAACATGGGGTTGTTTTATAACCTGCTAGCGTAATATCTGAAAAAGTACAGGGACATCAATAATTTTTCTATTTATAAATTATGGAATTAATCCTGTGTATTGGAAATTAATGCCCTGAAATGCAGAGCATATATTTTTTTGGGGGGGGACGGGACCCCTTCCTGTTATTTTTCCAATATAATTCTTTTTAAATAATATTGTGGTTGAAATTCCTGTTATATCTAAATTTTCTATGGAGAGGAGATGCTTGCCAGCTGACAGGAATTCCAATGTTCATCTGCCTAGCTTGATACCTTACATTATTTTAACCGTTTTTGCAATATTCCATACTTGAGTAAACATTTTTAATGCAGAGTATTGATGATGTCCCCAAAAGCAGTAATCATTATTATTAAAAAAAAAAAGCTAGATCAGTTCATGTTCACACAATTATCAACCTTATCTTGTAATTCTATCAACAAACTTAAAAGGAACATATTTCCTAAAATTAGTTCAGGCATAAACAAAATATGTTAGTAAATTGATTATACACATACACACGCACCAGCTTTGCAGTTATCTAGCTGCAGCTTCTGAGATGCAGAGGTTGGAAATAGCCAGGAGAAGGTGGATTGTGCACTGACTTGGTTTGATAAGGTCACCTTCATTTCTAGTCATCAGGACAATAGTTGCCTTGCTATGATCTTTGTATTTTAGAACATTTTTTAGTCCATCCTTCTCTGACAGCGTCAGTTCTCTGAATCCCTAATCATTATGGCTACTGGCAAAGGTTGCTTGACTCGGTGGGAATCCAGGGAGAAGAAATACTGATGGACATTCATAGGTTTCTGGACATACATGAGAAATTTATGTGCCTGGGCAGAATTAAATAATTAGGAGTCTTTTTTTTTTCCCCTTGCACTTTCAATACAAGTTTCTTGGCCTTTTGAGTTCCTGCAGTGTGTTAAACTGAAACACAATATGCAGAAAATGTTGTGACCCTGATCTTTTTTTTTTTAATATAAATTTTA